TTACAATAACACTGCTTAACAAATCCAAGCAGATAAATCCTGCTTAAACAATATATACAAGAAATGCCGTTTTTCCCCATATCTCATTCTCTGTCGAAGCTTCAATAAAAGTGAAACATTAGATCTATAAACATTTCCTATTTAATCAGTATCCTATAATATATATATATATATAAGCAAGTGTAAATGGATATAAATCCGACAGAATGAAGAAATTTTGAAAAAACAAACAAAAATCCTTAAAAAGTAGTTAAAATAATTTTAACTACATTTAAGGATTTTTGTTTGTTTTTTTCAAAATTTTATATATATATATATATATATATATATATGTGTGTGTGTGTGTGTGTGTGTATTGCATATATATATATATATATATTTTCATATATGTGTGTGTGTGTGTATTGTATATATATATATATATATATATATATATATATATATATATATATATATATATATATGAATTATTCATACAAAATAATGCAAGGTTAATATTTAAATGGCAAGACATCCATGCAAACGATTCAAATATACACAAAAACCTCTAAATCCGTTATGCATGAGTTGATCCTTGTTTATATAAATTTCTGCCGTATTAGTTGTTATTTTTTTATGCGTCTGTTCCTACAGACATCGTCAGTATATAATAGATGTTTTATATTCATAACTCATATAACGGATTTTAGGGTTTTTGTGTACTATTTGAATCGTTTGCAAGATGGATGTCTTGCCATTTAAATCATTAACCTTTGCATTAGTTTTTGTATGGTATTTGTAAATTGATTGCACGTTTATGTAATATATATATATATATATATATACACATACCATGCCTGTGAAGAATTATACATATATACACACACACACACACACACACACACACACACACACATATATATATATATATATATATATATATATATATATATATATATACGACAATTTTATATTATCAGCATTCAACAGTATTATAGATGATTCCTAAATAAGGCCACGAAATAGCAATGCAAGTAAATCAAATAAACTTGAAAAAATGCTGTCAATCTTTCATCAAATATGGAAGAAAAAAATGACTAATCTAAAATAAATCATTATGTACTGATCACTCAGCAAAAGCACACGTTAAAATACGAAGAATGAAAAAATAAACCACCTTTCTCGATATATACGAATGATATGTAGCTTCTACTAATCTATCTTCAATCTAAAATATACATTTTATGAAAGGTCTACTTTGTCCATATCCGACTTTCCACCATTGTATCAATAATGTCGTCTGCTTAAGGGAGTAGAATTTTATGAAATACAGCTACCTTCACCTAGACGTTATTATGTTAGGTTAAAATGCAAATCTTATGTTTTTATTCACATTATTGTATTTTTTTCTTGCTTTTTACTTCATTCCTGACTTTGCGACAGGTGGATTCATTAAGTATAGTTACGAATTCAAACAGGTTTTGCTTTAAAGAGAGTTGGGTTATGGAGTCGAGCGTGAGATTAATAAATAAATAAAATAAAGAAAGAAACGTGTTATCAAAGATCAGAGAAGTTTGATACAGATTTCGGATGGTAAGCTAAAACTGAAGAATGTATACGACTGGGTTTTGAAAAGTACTCAGGTCTATTAAGAAGATCGACATTAAGCTATGAAACTTATAAGATATTCAACTTATTCACCTCACGGTTCAACACACGTAGTACTTTTTTTTTCTCTCAAGTTTCTTTATCTCTTAAAAAAAATGAAAGAACATTCCGCTGTTTACTTATTGAAGAACTGATATTGAGAAGTGGGCCGGGCAGTGAACATTTTAGCAAACTTCATAAAGAGAGCCTAACACGGAAGACATGCTGATGCGAAAGAGATGTTAATAAAAAGTCCGAGAAGAATCAAAGAACGGTTTTAGCAAGAATATAGAGGAAAGATAAGGAGAGAAGTCGGCCAGCGAGAATTATTCAGATTAAGAAAATGAAGGGATGAACGCACCTCAGGACAATAAGAATGTAAGTGTAGCGAACAAGCATTAAGAGGAAAAAGAAAAATGGAAAAAAAAAACCGGTTCAAACGAATAAAATAAAAGGAAGAAAAACAAATGATGAATAGTAGCAAATAAATAAATGCGGTAAAGAAGAAAACCTTCTAAAATGAGAATTGTAGATAGGACAAGACGAAGAAGAAAAAAAACGCCTAAAATACAAGAGAAAAAAAGGAAATATAGGAAGCAATGAATAAACATTTTCTGCCGACATGAAATAAAAATAAGCGGGGTTATTATCATGTTCAAAGAATCTACTGAGCCGTAACAGTAGCTAGATGGATAGATGGATAGAATATGTATAAAATCAGTGATTTATATATACGAGAACCGTTTTAAATTTTCCAGATTTACTACTGATTTTGTTTTTCTTTCTCAGAGACTGCTGGAAGAAAAGAATGGAATGAATTCACTTTATTGTGAGTTCGTCAGCCGAGATCGACCGTCGAGTTAAAAGTAGATTCAGTGGGCTATGGGTGTAATAATGATGGCGGTCAAACAAGAATGTGTTCGTTATTCGGGAGAACGGTATCAGGAAATCACTTCAATACCATGTGTAACATTCATATAGGAAAATTTACACTTATCTCCATATATGCATTGGTAAATATTTGCACCTTAGCTTAAATACAATAAACATAAACACGTATTCCACATCATAGACTACATTTATACACAGGTTAAAACGTAAAAGGCCCTGTTTATACTTGGATAATTTAGTATCGAAAAGCTGGCTCAAATGCTCGTAAGAACATAACGAAATTTCGGGATGTACACATGTTTTATCTGAATATCCAATACTTGAGAGAATTAAACAGATGAAGAAAATGAAGGAGTGAACAAGTGATATATATATATATATATATATATATATATATATATATATATTTGGTTGGATAGGTGTGAGTTTGTGACCCTGGGTTTCACGCTTTATGGCTCCCCACAACTTCCTATTTCTTGTAGCCCTTAGTAAGATTTGTCTTTTTTAAATATTTCCTATCCTTCGTGTTGTCATTAATTCGCACAAATCGCTCAGATAAGCGACCCACAGCTTCGCCTGATACTTTTTTCCTTTCGAAATGTTCTCGCGGTGTCAAATTCTCCAAGCCCCTCTCCCACATTATGCGTCAAAGGAATTTCAGTTGTTTTTGTTTTTTTTATATATATATATATATATATATATATAAAAGTGAACATAGAAGTCAACACTTAGAGGCGACAGTCTGTTTCATACTAGATGCAATCGTCAGGCCACAAGTGCTCAGACGATTGCATCTAGCATGAAACAGAATGTCGCTTCTAAGTGTTGACTTCTATGTTCACTTTTATATTTACACACGCTCTATCTCTGATATTGAGCACATTATCCCATAAATATAGCACATCTTAAGAATATATTTCTTCATATATATATATATATATTCTCATATATATATATATATATATATATATATATATATATATATATATATATATATATATATATATATATATTTATATACACAGGTATATATATATACACACACACACACACACACATATATATATATGTGTGTGTGTGTGTGTGTGTTTCTGTGTATGGAGTATTGCTGCCGTATATGGTCTGGTGCCCCTTCTGTTTGCCTCGGGGTTCTTGATAGGCTCCAGAGTCAGATATGCAATGTAGTTGGCCCTGCCCTGGCGTCTCATCTACAGTCACTTTCTCACAGACGCGCCGTCGCCTCCCTCTGTCTGTTCTACAAATACTTTCATGGAAATTGTTCCGAGAAGCTGCATTCGCTGGTTCCCAGACGTCATGAGTTCCAGCGCCTCACGAGGCTGGCATCCCGCTCTCACCCCTTCACTGTCGAAACTCCTAAATGTAGCCGTCTCTTCTACTCTAATAGCTTCATGTCTCGCACCTCTCGCCTGTGGAACTCCCTTCCCTATTCCTGTTTCCCTGTATAATCTCCAGCTATTCAAGTGTAATGTCAATCGACATCTCCCGTTGCCTTGATCTATCCACTACCCTCATCCTTTCTTCTATCACTCCTATCTGATCTTGCTCTAAACTTTCTGTAAACCCTTGCGTCCTAGTGGCTTCCCGCCTTGCTTGGGGTGAAATGCTTAAAAAAAATAAAATAAAAATAAAATTTATAGCCTTTAATCAATATCTTACTCCAATATTACTTGTATTTCCATAAACATTATATATAGTGGTTCCAGGTGATTGACTAAACATCCTATTTTAAACAGCGAAATTAATATCTACCGGCCTAGAGATGGAAAGTGTCAGGTTTACATTTATAAATGAATAAAAAGAAAAGATAAAATTCATCGAAACTTTCAGTAGAAGAGTGTTGGTGCCTTTTGTATTGCAGCTGACGTTATGACGTTGGTTTTAATAAAAGTCTTTGGAAGTTAACCTTGCTGAAAATCGTATTCATGTAAAACTTACCAAGAATCTAGAGGCAAAACAGACAATTAAGAAGAAAAGTCAGAATTCGAAAAAAAATTTCAAATTCACTAATTATATATTTCTCGGCATGAACAATTGTCGATATATATAAAATTTTAATTAATGTATTCGGCTCTCCCAAAAAGGGTTGTTGGTTCTGTACAAACCTTCCCGAACATAATCACATCAATTGTGCAGGTAGTTTCGCTGTTTAGTTCTGAGGAATGAGATGTTGAACCCTCATACACTATCCCTAAACCCTAACAGTAACCCTAACCACTTGCATAATTATGATTATTTCAAATCCTAATTATATATATATATATATATATATATATATATATATATATATATATATATATATATATATATATTACAGTGTGTGTTCATGTGTACTTGAGTTTACGTTTGGACAGTCAGAGTAAATGCTTATAGACTTAAATATGAAATTAGTCGTTTATATTAGGATCTATAAATATTTATCAGGTAGTTGACCCACTTTGTGTAGTCTTATTCCTCTGTAAAGAATGCAGAGCTGGAGTATGTTAGTCCCCACTGTCGAGCAGAATGATAAATGTGTTAATATTTACCACCAGAATGACGTAAATAGGCATGGACCTTACTTAGACACTGGACAAATTGAAAGGAGATACGTGCTTGGGTGCTTTTGTGACATTGATCTATCTATCTATCTATCTATCTATCTATCTATCTATCTATCTATCTATCTATCTATCTATCTATCCTTCTCACGGTATCTTCATCTATCCCATTCTCTTTTCCTCTTTCTATCGTTCTCTCAGTACAGAAAACTCGTATTTTTCCCAGTTTCTCGTTTGGGACCATTGTTATCGGCGAGAAACTTCTAACAATCTCTGGCTCAATTATTTCAGATATTGACAAATACTCAAGTTTAAATGGGGTTCATAGTTTGCTCGTAAATCTTCCATCTACATTTTCGAGGAAGGCATTCCCATTCCAACAAAACGCAGAACTAAACATGTGGAAATACGAACGCTGATTTGCCGTCATACAAGATATTTCTTTTTCCAAGTAATGATTAAATAACCCCACGTGTCTTAGATGCCTCTCATCAAGAAGGTGTCCCAAAATAAAATTGGCAAATATTCAGCATAATAAAATATTAAAAATTTAAACCGTTTCTTTGTGAATTCGATACCAACTTTCTTAATCATAATTTGGCAATCACATTAACCCAATCAAAAACTGCTGTGACATTTACTATTTCACTTTTTTATACAAAATAACATTTGAATTGTTTTCAAACTTGAAATTGTAATTATGAAATGATTACAAATTGTCTTGATGGGAGCAAAAAGATTTTCTTGTAAATGCAAAAATAATAAGCTGTATTTAGATCATTAATAGAATAAACTTTATCTTAATCCGAAATAAAATTTAGCTCTTAGGTCTCAAAAATATAGTATTAGCATTAGTTCTCAAATCGGTCAGTGCTAAATCTGACGTTGAAATATGGCAGAGGTGAAATCAGATATTATATTTAAAATTTTCATCTTCGATATTTTAACCATATTTAAACCCATATTTTAAATCTATTATCCTAACTTAAAGGGTTTTATTTTTATTTTAATACACAATTCCTTTTCTCAAATGGTACTTATAGTTGTCATTTTCTGTGAATATGACATATATAAATATTTTAGAATCTAATGTAACAGAGAGAGAGAGAGAGAGAGAGAGAGAGAGAAAAGGTATTAAGATGTATTTTGAAAATCGATGTCGGTAACAGATTTCAACAAATGACAAACGTCAACTCACTAGAACTGTCATATATTGAATCCAAGATAATAAATATGGTCTCACGTTTAGTTTTCACTTCCACCTAAAAAGTGGGAGGCGCTGAAACTCCTGGCACCCTATAGTGTTGTAGATACTCATAGGATAATTTTATTCCAATCGGTGAATTCAGCAGCCTATAATTTTAAATCAAACGAACACCTGTCTCATGGTCAGAAACTATAGTTCGAACTATATGTATATACGTTTCGTATCAAGTCTCAATATCCGGATTACTTCCGTGTGTGCTGGTCAAACTCTCTGCTTCCGTGCAGAGAGGATCCCCAGACGAGGCTATGTCGAAGGGCAGAGTTTCGTCTCGAGAGACAGCTACACAACCCCATTTTTACGGGGTGTACAGGAAATTTTTGACCGAGTCTACGGCTCTTATTTCCAAAAAAAAAAAAAAACTCTCGGCCTTGTGTCACATCCGATCGCGTGGGGCGGTTAGTGAATATCAACAAGACTCCATAATATCATTTAGTTAGAATACATTATTATTATTATTATTGTTTTTATTTTCTTTGATTTCTGGCGTTTACACATTTCTTTCCGGGTCGCGCCCAGGGACCTATGGTTAGAAATGGCATCATGACACTTTCCATTGACAAAAAAAAAAAAAAGTAAATAAATAAAAAAAAAAAAAAAATTACATAGATAAAGCTCTTTGTAAAGTGTGGGCTGTACTTGTCAGAACAATTTTTTGTATCTCTTTGAGGCATGGACTTCCAGGAATCCCTTCAATTAGTCTACTGGAATCTTTTCCAACCAGTCCTAGGGCTCCAACTACAACAGGGATTGTTGATGTTCCCATATGCCACATTTTAGAGATTTCTATTTCAAGGTCCTTGTATTTTGACATCTTTTTTATTATTATTATTATTATTATTATTATTATTATTATTATTTTTTTCGTTTCATTTCATTCCGTTTCCAACATAAAATCAGAAATGGCATCATGACATTTTTCACTGAGTGTATTTGTAAAAAAAAAACTGTTTATCTAAGACCACTAATATTTAACATAGATAAAGCCCTTCGTAAAGTGTGAGCTGCCCTTGTGATTACAAATTTTTTTGTATTTCTTTAAGGCAAGAATTACAAGGAATCGCCTCAATAAATCCACTAAAAAGGTTTCTAATTAAACTGAGGGCTTCAACTACAACGGGAGATATTAATAACCTAATGTGCCACGTTTTTGAGATATTTGCCAATATTTGCGAGCCAAAGTTGGACAATTTACATAGGTGCGTTAGTGTAACTAAGCAATCTTTCTTTTTATGTGCCATGCCCTTTCAGGACGTGGGCGATCATGGCTCTCCACCTCCTTCTATCCTTTGCAGCTCTCAACAAGTTCTTTCCCTCTTCCATCTCACTTAGACCACATTTTTCTCATCCACCTGCTCAAGCCCGCCAGGAATGTCACGCGCTGCTTTCCTTTGTCTGTCTTTCCCTCTGTTTGACCTGTGAGTATCAGATTGTTAAGTTCCTGCTTCCTTATTATGTGTACAAGAAACTACAGCTGCCTCTTCCCGATGTTAAACAGGAGCCTCTTCCTTGACTGAATTCTCTCCAAGACCTAATCGTTGATCACACGCTCGGTTCACGAAATCCTCAGCATTCTTCTGTAGAACCACATCTCGAGTCTCTTCTTCATCCTTGAGGAAATCTTCCAGCATTCTCTGCCGTAAAGAAGGACAGATGTCACGTAACAGCTCAGCAGCTGATCAAAAAACAGCCCGGTCTTAAGTTATCAGTGCTGAGTAAGGCTGATACTAAATTACCATTGAAGGTTCAAAATTCAGTATACGTTAAGTTGTACCAATCATCTCTCTATAAGTAAAAGGAGCATTGGTGGCCTGAAAGCTAATTTAACAGTGGACCTTTAATGATATTTTTTGTTTCCTATAACATTAGTCTAAGGTTGTTTCTTATTTATTTGTTGAGCCCATTTTTCCTCGATATTTGCACTGATCAGAGAGGGTCGATAATCCGGTTCTTCTTGATTTTAATCATCATATATTGGTATGGCCAATCAAGGGCATTATACATTCTGTTACCGATCGTTTTTGTTATGGATGAAAATTGCTACTCGAGAATAAGATTTTACGTATATCACGGTATGATTGTGATTTTAATTTTAAATATCTCCTTCCAAATATGTATACGATTTGATTATATCAATATATAGATGCGGAAAAAATAAAACAAAATAGATTGTCCCATTTCAAATTCTATATAACACAATAGAACATTCCACATTCCAAAAATAGAAATTCTATTATCTCACTAAATAAACTGAACTTTGACTATCTCTGCTTCATATTACCCTAAAATTTATTTAACCCTCCTCATATTTTAATTTGTCTAATTTATTTTCCTGATATTCCATATATGTTTTTTTGCATGTATATTGGAATAAAGTGTCTTATTTATTCTCTGGATGCACAGGTGGTGTAATTTCTAGTGATTTGCTTCTGGATAAGAAATAGGCGATCCGAGATCGAATTCTATTTTTGTTAATTCCTCGAAAATAATAGGTTTTGATGACATTGTTCTACTGTTCTGTTTTGTTAAAATAAGTAGACCACAATGTTTAGAAATCAAATATATTCTAAAGGAAACGCTTGGGGGGGGGAATGTTTTTGCTATATAGGAATAAAGTGTCGCTGCCGACACTTGAGTTTGAACAAACGTCGCCATTGAGCAAATACCGGTGATCCCATTGTTGAAATAAGTAGACCACATGGCCATACAGGAAACGCATAAGTAGAAAGTCGCGTGACGCCTAATTCATCTCTATTTCTAGACTATCATCTATTACTATTTCGATCGCCATTTCTAGTCTATCCTCTATTACTATCGTGATCGCTGTTTCTCGTTTATCCTCTATACTATACGGGTCGCTTTTCTCTATTCTATTCACTATAATATTTCTCTATTCGAATCACTATACGGCGGTTACTATTCGAGCGAGTATTATCAAGTACTATTAGTGCGAGTGTTATTCAAAGGCGTCTGACACCAGTATTGTTCAACGGCGTTACTATAGTTGTATCTGCGATTACAAAGTCTCTGCTACAACGAGCATTACGAAATCGGAACGGGTATTTGAATAGCATAAATAACATATGTCAACACGTAATCTACAAGAACCCTTAGAAAGGATACACGTCGTAAATACTAGATTGTAAATCAAATTTCCGTAAACACCTCCTTATAACAACTGCTTCGTACAACAAGTGGTTTCCCTCCCACCATCAATCTTGCCTTGTTAAAAGTACTGAAGGTGTTTGCCGCTCGAATTCCAGTCATGCGCAATACACAACGGCTAGGAATAACGTTCCTATTATAATTGACATATAATACATCTCACATAGTCTTGAAACTTGAAAATATACTAAAAACTCAAACAACGCCCTTGAAAATGCATAGAACAATCGACGATATGGACAGTTTTTTGGTATTCGCTCATTCCCACCAAAATAAAAATGTAGAACGCTGGAAAAACTAAAGAAAAATAACATTTTCTCTGAACATCTTATTGCTGTTCAACTACACATTAATATATATATATATATGTATATGAATATGGTCTATCAATATATATATATATATATATATATATATATATATATATGTATGTATGTATGTATGTGTGAAAAGTGTATATAAATATAAATAAATATATATATATAATTATTTATATATTATATGTGGTACTTATTAGAAAGAGTTAACATATTTGGTTGGATAGACAGAGTTTTGACCTAGGTTTTCACTTTTATGATCGTCAGACAAAGATTAATGTTTTAAAAAAAACCCAAATTTTTTAAAACATTAATCAGTTTGTCTGACGATAAAGCGTAAAAACCAGGTCACAAACTCACATCTATCAACCAAATATATATATATATATAATATATATATATATATCCAACACACACATATATATATATATATATATATATATATATATATATATATATGTACATAAAGTGAACATTAAATCATCACTCAGAGGGGACAGGCTGTTTGTTTCATGCTAGATGCAATCGTCAGACGGCCTGACTATTGCGTCTAGCATGAAACAGCCTGTCACCTCTGAGTGTTGATTTCAGTGTCTATTTTATACTTATATTTACATACGCTCTATCTCTGATATTGAGCATTTTATCCCATAAATATAGCACACACTAAAACTATATTCCTTCATATATATATATATATATATATATATATATCCGAATCATATTGTCCAATTGTTAGATTAAGTTCTGAACCGTTGTATCTTAGAAGCGATTAAAAATATCTTTTTAGAATTCTTCGAGATTTTTATAACACTGTTTTTCTCTACTTTGAGCAATAATACTGTCTAATTACTCTATAAACTTAACAGATGTATCGTGATGTAATCAATCATAAACGAAAATGAAATGTTCATCATTAATTAATCACAGCTAAGGACCAGAAGCTAATTAAATATTGAAACAATGTTAAAATATATTGTTGCATCCTTTAAGAGGTTACAAACAGCCAAAGGTAGTACCCGAGTGAAGGAATAGTAACACGCGCGTAGATGAAAGAAAGAGAGGTTTATTGTAAAAGGGTATACACTACTGAACGACAGGGAATCCGGTAGCAGGCTAGTAATTCCCGAAGCATGCCCGCAAAAATATCCTGTGCTCACTATATATATATATACTGATATATTTAGTCCACATGTCCACATAGGCGATAGGGATTGTGGGACATTTCATTATAATCTCTCTCTCGCTCTCTCAATATATATATATATATATATATATATATATATATATATATATATTAAGAAATGGACAAGGTCCGACAATTTATTTATTAAAGACATTTTTTTATGTTTAACGTTGTTATTTATAGATACAAGTATTTAAGGAAATGCTCTGTTTATGATAAACAGTATTAAATAACATTTACCGGCCTGAAAATTTCTTGGACATTCAGGCCGGTAAATGTTATTTAATACTGTTTATCATAAACAGAGAATTTGCTTAAATACTTGTATTTATAAATAACAACGTTAAACATAAAAAATGTCTTTAATAAATATATATATAGAGAGACATTATCCCAGGATATTTTTCCATTTATTCCAGATGATCTAACATTCTAACTTTCTGTCTTGGAGTAACAGGTTTCACGTACGATGTGATTTTCGAGTCTTTTTCCATTGTTTTTTTTTAACTGTCATAGCTGAAACTCCTCTCGCATGTACCAAAAGACTTATGAATTGAGTCGGATCTTTTTTAATTCACCCCCTTAGCTGTAAGTTGATATGTTGATCCCTCTTCTTATTGTGACCTCCTGATCCAGCTTTCCTTTCTACTGTTCCCCCTTTTTACAACTTATTCCCCGTCGTCTTGATGGTTCATGAATTGACTTTGGAGATGGAAAGCAGAGTAATAATGTAGCTACCATTGCTGAAAACCTGAATGGTGATTTTCCTCTCACCATTGCTCAGTTAGGAAGACAGTGGGTCTGCGACAAAACAATTTTAACCTGCTCTCTTTTTAGCTAAAACGCTTTTTCAGTGAATCTTATGAATAATGGTGTCAAGATGGCTAAATGTCGTATCTGAAAACTTCGAAAAAAGAAACACAATTAGTTTAGGGTTTTTTTGTTAGATATTAAACATCTTGTGGGATGGATAATTATGCTGTTACACGATTTGGACAGTTTTGCTTTTTTATACCTGATATATATATATATATATATATATATATATATATATATATATATATATATGTGTGTGTGTGTGTGTGTGTGTGTGTGTGTGGTCGATCAATACACTAGATTCCTCGAAGATTTAATATCCTATCATTCAAAAGATATAAAAGCAAAAGAGATACGTATATGACTTGAATCACTGACCATTAGACGTCTACTTATATATTCTTACATACCTGATAATTAAGTGGGGGAACTTTAAAATTACCTGATGGACATGCGGATTAGCAGAAATTCATAGCTGGCTATCTAGCTAGATATATGGCTAAGTAAACGCAGATTTGTTCTCGGAGAATAAAATAAACTTGACAGGAAGATCTGTATATCTTCGGGCATTGAGTCCCGGGAGTTCACCTATCGATTGGTACTCCGGACGCAATGTGACATTTCTGTGATGAATTGTCCGAAGTGAAATATTGCATTTATTACGTTCAAACTACTCGACATCGTCTTTACTTTCCTTTTCGTTTTTTCTTTTCTTTTCCCTTTTTCTTTCAAACATTGTTTCTCTTGCTTTTTATTTTCCGGTATATTTTCTACTGTTCGTCCTCTACGCCTTTTTTTTTTTTATTTATTTCTGTTTTGGGTGAAATATTTCATTTATTACGTCACTAGTTTCGCCTAATATTTGGCATTCTCTCTTCGGTCTTCATATTACGTCATTCTCTTTCTTTTCTTTCTCTAAGTTATCCTTCTCTCTTCATCCATCATCATCATCATCATCATCTCTCTCTCTCTCTCTCTCTCTCTTTCACTGTTCTAATTTCAACTTGGTCTCTTTTTAGCCGTTGTCTTTTTATAGTCTCTTTTTTTTCTCTTTTTCTTGGATCTCTCTCTCTCTCTCTCTATCTCTCTCTCTCGCTCTCTTTCTCTTTTCCTGTTTCTTTTTGTCCTCTCTTTAAAACTCCTCGTTCTTTTACTTTGGTGCTTTCCCTTTCTGTCGTCTTCATTTTTATTTCTGTGCTATCACGAATTTGCTAAGAAACATCATATAAGGCGCAAAAGTTGTGGATAGCAAAATCCAGTAGGGAAAGGTCTCATAGAAAAAGGACATCTATTATAAGCGTTTTGAGTTGTTATTCACTAAGCCTAGTTGACTATAAGGTCACATATTAAGGTCTAACAATCTTTCATCACGGCGAGGTAATTATTTGGATATCGAATACTATAAAATTGTCTGTTAAATATCACCTTCTACGGAGACCGGCACTGTAAACGTCTCAATTCGATCTACTTCCCCAAACCGAACCATCTAACGAAACAGGATTACGGCAACATCTCGTTGAAACATTGGTTCCCTTACGATCGGCAATGTTAAGCAAAGACAAGCCTGATCAGATGGGTGGCAGCTTAGAAATAGCAGGTGTTGTAATGTTGATTGTGCGGAGATGTAATGAATAATGGCTCTGAATTGCCAATCAGAGAGCCGAGTTTCAATACCACTTGGTTTCGCTATCTTCACTTACGCGAAAATAACATTGAGCAAGGCATGAATCCACCACTTCGCCCTTGTATCACTAAACCATTATTATCTAGAAACTAAAATAAAATAAGTAAATAGAACTGCGTAAAAATACTTATATTTTGGCATTAAATACCATAGAGTTTGATATGTCACCAAACAACAAATCAACTTGACAAAAGACTGTTTTTTTTTTTAGTTTTTTTTATAGAGAAAAGCAGGCTTGGAAATTTTAATACTGATAAGGCATACTAAATGCAGGAGATGAATATAGAAACAGCGAGTAAGGTAACTAAAAAGTTCTTTGAATAGATAACAGTGCGAGGAAAATAAGGATTTTAAAATGTCAAATATTACTTAAGGCAATAAGAGACTGGATATTTTTAAGTCCTAACGGTAGATATCACATAAGATACGAAAAAAGTATTAATCTAACTAGTCTATGAAATACTTGGTTTAAGCATTGTTAATGTTATTAAAATTATATTTGTTTTTGTCGACCTGGTTATTGTTATATAAGAATAAAGTGTCGCTGCTGACACTTGACTTTGAACATAGATCGCCAGTGAGTAAACACAGGCGATCCCATTTTTTAAATAAGTAGACGGCATGACCATAGAGGAAACGCATGAGTAGGAGGTCGAGTGGCGTCTAATTGATCGCATTTCTAGTCTATCATCCATTACTATTCAGATCTCTATCTCTAATCTATCCTCTTTTAATATTCGAACCGCTATTCTCTACTCTATTCACTATACTAATTCTCTATTCTGAGCACTATAAAGTGGCTACTATTCGAGCGAGTATTATCGAGCAAGTACTATTAGTGCGAGTGATATTCGAAAGCATGTGACAACAGCATTGTTAAACAATGTACTGTAGGTGTATCTGCGTTTACAAAGTCTCTACCACAACGAGCATTACGAAAGTGACAACGGGTATTCGTTGACATTACAAAAGTGACAACGAGTATTTTTTGACATCACAAAAGTTATTTTGCTTTATCTTACAATTTTTATGATTTTCTTCGTTTTTTTTTATTCACGTCTTTGGGTTAACACAGCTTCGCCAAAAACGCCCGTTAGGTGGCGCTTTTTAAATTTATAAAATCTCAAAGATTTGCTTCCTCGCTCTATTTTGCTCTCTTGCTTCCAGACAAAGTCAAACGTAGATAAAGATCGTTACCGCCAGAGCAGCTTCGTTTCTTTTAGTCTACTGAACTATCATCACACACGCGTGTCTATTACATACGCTTGTTTCACGCACGCACAAACGCATTCTTATAGCTATATATTTTTTATGCTTTTTACTCTGGTTTCAACTGTGCACACATGTAATTTTTTTGTTAATAACATGCATTAATTTTACTTTGTTTTAAATTCCATGTTTTGCTGTGACTCATTTTACTCAGACACACATTTGTCCACCAAATATTGTTTACGGGGCAAAGGTTCCACTCGTATAAATATTTCCCGAAACACGTTCTTACCATACAACGAATGAGGTAATATCCGCAGCATGCTATTTATGTTACGGTCGTAGAATAACGAACTTGTGATAAGCGTAACAAATTTAAGAAGAAAGAACATATTTATCATTCTAAAAAAATAGTCCGCTATTCGTATTTTTTTTTACGTTTCCTCCTGCATATATATATCTGGAAATTACCCTCTTTTTTTACCTACCATTCTCTGCATTTTCATCCGTTCCACGTTCTCTTTACGTGACGTTTCCCCACCCATCTCTCTATCTACTATTTTCTACTGGCTCTTCAACCGAAGCTAAAGCAACGCAATGCGCACAGCTGCCTCCTGTCGTAATCCAGACCCACCTTGTCATACCTTTGACCCAACCCTGGCCGATTCAACCGGCTTTCTCCGCTTGATAGGGTCAAGCAGTTCACTTTGTTTTATCGCCGAACGAGTCAGATTTGATGATGACAACTCGTGAAGACAGAGGCGGAAAAGTAGACTGAGCACGAGTACAGCAAGGAATAGTTGGCAGTAATTACATCGAGTTTATTAAATCAACTGCCGACATTACGAGTCTGTGTTGCAAAGTTGCATGCAGATACTGTAAGAATTTTTCTAACATCAACTTGACTAATTTTCTTGAAAACCGTGCTCAGGTAGATTGGTATCGATGAAAGTAAAGCATGCCTTCTAAAACGATTTTTTCTGAAAATTTTTAGTACGACTTTCGACTGAATGAGTCTTCTGTGAGGATCGAAACCACTACGAAAAACGAATGTTTAAGAATATAATTTTAGTAATTTATAGACCAGACCGAGGCGTCCTTTCATCTGGAAACTACATCCGGTATCAATGCCTCTGATCGGGAAGTTTTCAGTTGCGTGGAATCAACGTTTAATTGCTGCTGTTTCCAAGTCCACCCTAATCTGGGATGGTAGTACCTGTTAGAGTCCCAACAATGAGCAAATAGCTAACCCCCAAACCGGGGCCAAAACGCTATGAAGGTATAAAAATACATATTTTATAGGAAATAATACCTGTAATATTGTTTTATGTTACATAAAAATTCAGCATTTCAGAATTTTTCTAACATCAACTTGACTAATTTTCTTGAAAGCCGTGCTCAGGCAGATTGGTATCAATAGAAGTAAAGCATGGGTTTTAAAACGAATCTTGCTGAAAATGTTTAGTACGACATTCAAGTGATTGACGCTTCTGTGAGGATCCAAACCACTACGAAAAACGAATGGTTAAAAGGACAATTTTAGTAAATTATACACCAGACCGAGGCGTCCATTCGTCTAGAATGTTGCTATTTAATAAGTTTTGCTTAATTTAGCTAAAGGCCACATGTGTTGCTCACTCAGAGAAGATTTCACTGTACATTATTAATGATCATCTTGAGTCGGTTCGCTAACTATATATCACGTCGCGACGTGCATCTGCAAAATGTTGTACATACTAAGTTTAAGCTTGTTTGGCAAAAGGCCACAAGTTTTGATCACCCATTTTCACACTAAGTCACTGCTCATTATTAATGGACATAAAGATTAGGTTTTCCAGCGATACAACACGCGTCTCATTCCCTAGTATCTTATTTACTAATTTTAATGTTGTTTGGCACAAGGCAACATTAATGAGGCGTCCAGTAGGAATCAAACTCACTAGCCAGTAGTAAGAGAGAATAAGACATATTCACTCACTGTCTACGTTATCCCTTGATGACGTGGGCGATCATGGTTTTTCACAATTTCCTAACCTTTATATTTCTTATTAAGCTTTCTTTTTTCTCTAACCCTCACAATAGCGTTGTGGGCATGACGATAAACTACATCGGGCAGCAATGTCACTGATCGGGATGTTTTCAGTTGCGGGGAACAATCTTTTAATTGCTGCCGTTTCCAGGTCCACTCTGATCTGGGTTGATCGCACATGTTTGGGGGCCAACTATGAGTAAATTTTTAATCCCAAACCGGGGTCAAAACGCAATAAAAGTATAAAAATACATTTTTATAGTAAAGATACCAGCAATAGTTTTTTTTCATGTTACATGAAATTTCAGCTCTCTTTATTTTGTATGTGATTATTTTTCTTGTTTCTAAATGCTTTACTTAGCTTTTGGAAGGAACCTTTCGCTATTCCAGTGAGTCTTCGGATTTTGGTGAGACATCATTTTTTTTTTATCCTCAGTGCCCGACAATGACTTGCTGAAGAGAAACCACACCGAGGTACTACTCTACATGGAGTTTTGTTTTTTAGTAAGTTTAACTTAGTTTGGTACAGGGTATAATATATAGAACTCCCATTTAGAAATCATTATGCAGTATTAATGGTCACTCAAACTAAGACATATCTGTGGAGTACCCGGTGAGAATCGGACTCACTGCACAATAATACCTTTCAACAAGTCTAGGCTCACTAACGGTAGATGACGCCATGTCGCCCCTCTCATTAGTAGGTTGGTAATTACTAAATTAATAATGGGATTGAAACATTGGTACACCCAGTGAATATTTCATTTTTTTGGTCGAACCATTTAATCTTTAAGAGAAGACTTCGGATTCACGTTTAACAACATTATTTAATTTTATTTTACCTTTTATGTAGAAGAAATTATCTCTGTTCCCACAGAGAATAAACGAAATCTTTGACTCTATTTGAATCTCTAGGATGATGAGTTATCAATGTTTAATTATATTTGGACTATTACCCCCATGTTTGTTGTTGTTATCACAGTATTTCAGTCGTTGTAACCCCCGGTCATCAAGTGCACTCTGCCAGCCCAGTGATTGAACTCACAATTAGGATATCACCACTTGGACTCAGTGAAAACGGGCGAGCAATATCTGAGCAGTATTAAATATAAGAACTTGACAAGATATCACTATCCATGCGCAGTGGAAAGAGAAATGTCTAAACCACGCAGCCTGAATAAAGGGTAAAATTCAGAATTCAATGTAGGTTAACTAAATCGATATCGACCTGATGAAGGCTGCTAGGCACAATGGCCGAAAGGTTGTGACAACAAAACAAAAATAAGGACAATA